CACCCTAACATCGAAATGGTTACCCTAATGACAAAATAAAGAAATCTCGCGTCACTTTTCAAATAGACCAATGTAACATATCCACCATTTTGAGAAAATCGAAGTTGAAGTTCGACAGATTATTATTTGAACTGTTTAAAAACAATACATTTTGCAATACTATTTTTAATGTAGTCCGTGTAAAATAACGTTGAAAATTCAGAAGAAACGGTAAAATCACAATTTTACTTTAAATTTCATGCTACAACATAGAAAAAAAACCACATAAGACGTTTTGAAAAGTCGAGTTGTACATCGGACATGTTACATTGGACGATTTTTCTCAATGACATAATCAATGAGTGTTACATTGGACGTTTTGTCTTCATGATACTAGATTCCCTTTCACAGATTTCAGAGTATAGTACCTAAATTTAGATTGGACCCGCCTTTGGAAAATGAGCACCAATCATGTTAGGCAGTCCGAATGACCGAAGTAACAATCATATACCCATCATTTTAAACTGTACATTGGACAATTTTTAATCAATGATTACACTAGTTTACAAAACAACATAAAAAGTGTGAACTTTAGTGGTTGACCAACGTTTCTAATGCAAAATCCTACGCTGAATTCAATGCCGTGGTCAGAAAAAATTAAAGTAGAGCCATTTTTGATATATACAAAATTTTTGATTTTTTGAATTTGGACAAAAGTACGATTACTAAAATGTCAATATCTTTGGAACTAGTGCACCAATTTTAAATCTTTTTTTTTATAAAAGTGAAGCTAAATAAATTTGCTATCGTTCACTAGAATATTATGTCTTAATTAAAAATTTCATTTTGAAGTCATTTAAAAATTTACAGAATTTTTTTTTATTTTTCCTGCGAATTTTCCATAAAAATCTTGTTTTAATCAACATTTTTAATGGGATAAAAAGATTCAAAAAATCATTCCATAATTTATTCTTAAAGTCCATTAAAAACTGGAGAAAATGAGCCTTTAATGGATGAAATCGGTTGGAAATTGTCGAAGTTATGAAATTTTTTGTAAAATCATGGAAATTGAATGTTCCAAGATTGGCCGTCAGTGAGAGTTATAGCCATTAAAAAGCCTGGAAAACCCGCGTCAGATCATAACTCGTATCGTCCCATCGCGATGTTATCGTGCATTCGAAAATTGTTGGAGAAAATGATCCTTTTTCGCCTCGACAAATGGGTTGAGACGAACCACCTACTCTCAGATACTCAATTTGGTTTCCGTAGGGGTAAGGGAACGAACGACTGTCTCGCGTTGCTTTCCACAGAAATCCAGTTGGTTTTTGCTAAAAAAGAGCAAATGCTTCTGTGTTCTTGGATATTAAGGGGGCTTTTGATTCAGTATCGGTTGAAGTCCTTTCAGACAAACTCCACGCTTGTGGCCTTTCCCTATTAATTAATAACTTTTTGTACAATTTGCTGTCAGAGAAACATATGAGCTTTTCTCATGGAAACTCTGCAGCTTCTCGATTTAGTTACATGGGTCTCCCCCAGGGCTCATATTTAAGCCCCCTTTTGTACAATTTCTATGTCAGAGAAATTGACAATTGTCTAAGTGACAACTGCACGTTGAGACAACTTGCAGATGATGGCGTAGTGTCTATGACAGGGCCCAAAGGGGTCAACCTGCAAGGACCCTTACAGGATACCTTAGACAATTTGTCTACTTGGGCTATCCAGCTAGGTATCGAATTCTCCACGGAGAAAACTGAGTTGGTCGTTTTTTCTAGGAAGCATAGCCCAGCACAACCGAAGCTTCAACTTTTGGGTAAGCCGATCACTCATTCCATGTCTTTCAAATATCTTGGGGTCTGGTTCGATTCCAAATGCACCTGGAGATCCCACATTGAGTATCTGAGACGAAAATGCCAACAAAGGATCAATTTTCTCCGAACAATTACCGGAACGTGGTGGGGAGCTCATCCGCAAGATCTTCTAACGTTGTACCGGACAACGATTTTATCGGTTTTAGAGTACGGTAGTTTTTGCTTCCAATCGGCGGCTAAAACTCACATCATCAAACTGGAACGTATACAGTATCGTTGTCTTCGTATCGCGTTAGGATGCATGCACTCGACTCATACGATGAGTCTCGAAGTGTTGGCGGGCATGTTGCCACTATCGGATCGGTTTTCAGAATTGTCTCTCAGGCTCCTCACCCGTTGTGAAGTTATGAACCCACTGGTAATCGAAAACTTTGAGAAGCTATGCTTCTCCGACTTCGGCAATTCAGTTAGTTTTGATTTATCTATGACGCGGGAGATTCGTGGAATCCCAGAACATCATCGTTCCATGATTGTTCCGTCAATTTATGCTGCGATGTTTGGCCAAGTTGATTCCGCAAGATCGTTCTTCACAGATGGATCACTAATAGAGGCGTCCGCTGGTTTTAGTATTTATAACGAATTTCATAGCGTCTCCCGAATGCTTCATGCTCCTTGTTCCGTATATGTTGCTGAACTGGCGGCAATACACTATACGCTAGAAACGATCGCCTCACTTGCACCAGATCACTATTTTATTTTTACGGATAGTCTCAGTTCTGTCGAGGCTATTCGATCCATGAGGCCGGTAAAGCACTCCTCGTATTTTCTCATGAAAATACGAGAGATTCTGAGTGCTTTATCTTTAAGATCTTTTGTCATCACCTTTGCATGGGTCCCATCTCATTGCTCGATTCCGGGCAATGAGAAGGCGGACTCACTTGCTAAGGTGGGCGCTATGCAAGGTGATATTTACGATCGACAAATCGCCTACAATGAATTTTTCTTCATTTATCGTCAACAGTCGCTCGCCAGCTGGCAAAATAAATGGAGTGAAGGAAGTTTGGGACGATGGCTATTCTCGATCATCCCTAAGGTGTCGAAGAGTGCTTGGTTCAAGGGGTTGGATGTGGGTCGAGACTTCATTCGTCTGATGTCTCGCCCCATGTCCAATCACTTGTAATCGCTGTAAACGCTCACTTGTTTCGTGTTGGGCTGGGAGACAGCAATCTCTGTGAATGTGGACAAGGTTACCAAGACGCCGATTACATCCTTTGGTCTTGTGCTGAGCATCGTGGAGTCAGATCTGAGCTGTGCGATTCCCTTCGGGCTCAAGGTAGACAACCTAATGTTCCAGTTCGGGATATTTTGGCTAGACGTGATCTGGAGTTTATAAAACTCATATATGTTTACTTTAAGAATACTAACCTTAGATTGTAAGTTTGATTAACCTTGTGTTTAGTTTGTGTATTGTGCGTGTAGTTTTTTTTTAATGTTTGTTTTCAAGATGAATAGAAATAAGTTCATGTTTTAGGATTAATTAAATATTTGTATAATAAATCATATTTCAAACCTCCTTCTCCCTTTTCCCATCCAAAAAATTGTAAATCTCCACTAACGTCGAGACGACCGCGAGTAATCGGTTCAATTCCTTTAACTCTAGATTTAAGACATTAATCATGTATAATGCAAATGATAACTCGGCTCTGTAAAGTTTATTCGATTGAGCGTGTACAAATAAATTAATATAAAAAAAAAGATTGGCCGTCAATTATGGAATGATTTTTTGAATCTTTTTATCCCATTAAAAATGTTGATTAAAACAAGATTTTTATGGAAAATTCGCAGGAAAAATAAAAAAAAATGCTGTAAATTTTTAAATGCCTTCAAAATTAAATTTTTAATTAAGACATAATATTCTAGTGAACGATAGCAAATTTATTTAGCTTCATTTTCATAAAAAAGATTTAAAATTGGTGCACTAGTTCCAAAGATATTGACATTTTAGTAATCGTACTTTTGTCCAAAATTCAAAAAATCAAATATTTTGTATATCTCAAAAATGGCTCTACTTTATTTTTTTCTGACCACGGCATTGAATTCAGCGTAGGATTTTGCATTGGAAATGATCATCACCTTACTGAGTTCAAAAATGCTGTAAACTAGTGTTATCTTAAATAATTGAAAGTAAATTTGGATGGATGTTTTTGTATCACATACAATGATAGAAGAGCAATAGTTTGTATCGCTTAACTCGATTGGTTTACATTTGTTACATTGGTCTATTTGAAAAGTGACGCGAGAAATATGGGTCTAATATTTTGCGATAACGAACAAAACGACCAATTTTTATGAAATTCTGAGAACCACTATATCGTTTTGCTATGAAATTACTGCAAATGGAGTCTTAAAATGGTGTTAAATCGAGGGGGGCGACACATCTAAATCTCAAGTTTAGATGCTCAACAAATCTCATACTAGCGAATCAATCTTCGAAAAATCTTCTTTCATTTGTCGCATCTACTTGCATCGCTCATAATCTTTTTGCAGGAAATCTTCAGAATCGTCATCAATCTTCTTTCTATCTACTCAGCGTGTGCACAGCTAGCCACACAAAAACAATCTTTTTTGCATCGTAGATAGAGTCGCCCCCCTCGTGTTAAATACAGAAACTAAAAAATGTATATTGACCCTAGCATACTAACATTACATGAGCTATCATAATCCAAACATCTAAAAATGCAATTGAATTTATCAATCTCGGTTGGTCGGTTTTTACACGGCATAAAACCGACTCCAGTGTATCTCAAGAAATGAACTCGTTAACCATTTTTAAAAATTAATTTAAATTTGGCCGGACGATATGTTAATGTAGAGTGGCCATAAGCGACATGATGCGATGGTATCCGTCCATGCCTACTAGTTTCCAATATCCCCTTTTTTTCTTGAAAATGTGAGAGCACGTCAAATTGCCAACGCCAACCATCAGGAGAAGGGTCTGTTCGCTGCGTACGTTTGCTCTCGCCGGCAGTCTTTCGCGTTGCCTTTCGCAGTGAGCATCTATTCCGTGTGAGTGTGTCCCGGAGAGGCAAACTTGTGTTCTATAATCTGTATTTCTCCTTTTTTTTCTGTGTGTCCCATATTCAATCTTTTGAACCCACAAAAAATCGTTTGCCAAATATCGGCTTCTTCATTGTATCTCTACCTCATTTACAGCTCGGGTCGAAACGGTGAAGAGCCAGTGCAAAACATCCGGTAAAAGAGTGCTGTGTTCTTCTTCGATTGCTGCTGAACCTGGCCACAGCCGAAACTGCATTTCTCGCTTGTCATCATCGCAAGCACCATCAGCGACAGTGTTGTCTCCGTGGCGTTCGTGGAGGTTTCTGCGTGAAAAACACATATTTTCGACACTAGCGCGCACTTTACCCGCTACCTCGTGGCCCTCAGACCATCACCTCGTGGCATTCCACTTACAACAAACACCGGCCGTGTCCCAGAAACTGCAGCATCGATCGTATTATCAACGTCGTCATAATCACAGCTTTATTCACACCGGTCTGCCGTCTATTGGAGTGGCTGCAAACAGTTTGAAGAATTCGTTTAAATGTGGTTGCGTTTATCGGAATAACAGTGTTCTACATCCAAGTCTGATAAGACATTCTAGCACCGTAACAAATCCTGGTGGTAGTGTGAGTGATCATCCAAGTGAAGAAAAAAGTGCAGATTGTAAAAGTGCTAGTGACGGGAAAGAAGCATCTGTCAGCCTCAGTAAATCCGATACCATGTCGTCTAAAGCGGCCTTTCAACGATTGCCCACCAATGTGGTTCCGGAGCATTATGACTTGACGCTGAAACCGAATCTAAAATCGTTCACATTCGAAGGCAGCACTTCGGTAAAAATCCAGGTGAGTCTAATCTGGACATATGCAGTAACTACACGTGCTCCCGTCCTAATCGACTACAGATGCGGTTGGGCTCTTTCACTGAGGCACACAGAAGCTGGATGCACGTTCCAGTCGGCTGGGTATTGAATATGCATCATATATCTTCAATCTTCAAACAGCGAGTACAGTCGATTCTGTTTTTACGCTATTTTATTCTTTTCGATTTTGCGTTCATGCCGGATGGATGGCTACAGATTTTTTTAAACCATATTTTTCGTTGATTTTTGTAGTTTTTAGCATCAAATTTGGTTGCAATTCGAGATCACACGATCAAATATAGAGGCGGGAAAAAATCGCGTAAAAACAGAATTGAGTGTATTAGTAGGTTAAACGAAAGCAAATGGTATTACAGTTTCTTTTGATTGTTATTCTACAGATCCGGTATAGCGGGTATAGCCAATGCGGCAAGATAGAATATTTATGTTTTCCGTTTCACGATCTTATGACCTGCATTTTTCTTGTTTGTTTCATATAATTGTTTATTTTATAAACATACATTATACATGTACTACGTATACATTGATCTCGAGTTTCTTTTTTGATCACCAGAAATTTGTCAAAAGCATTCGTTATCATACGACACTGTAGAAACATTTGTTGTAGTTACTTATTAACCTTGCTAGTCATTTTTGGCCTGGAAAAACCGTGCATGAAGAAGGTTAAATAATTCTTTATCACTGAACATTCAATTTATATAAATCCGAACAATGGATCAGGTCCAAAACAACATTGATCGATTCTTTTCACCGATTTTCTCTTTCGATAACCACTTGGCTTCACAAACGTTTCTTGCCGTGTTTGCCGTATTACATTGAAAATAGCTGGAAATGACTTTACATGGCCGAAGGGATGCAAAAAGAAAATCAACGGAGAGAATTGGTCAATGTTACTTAGGACCTAAGATAGAAGATAACAAAATGAAAGATTTTCTCACTAGAGATTGAACGATTTGTAATCAAATTTGACCAGCTGAAGCTAGAAAAGTAAAATGCTGCATACGTTTCACACACAAAGTCCGATTTGTTTGATCTTTTGGCGGATTTCTGTACGAAGTACACATTAATGTAATTCAAATGATTGTTTTTGTTCCACACAGCTCAGTCGATTCTAAGTTAGGACCTGATATTTCTCCAAAAAATTGACCTTATTTGGTTGCGAATCAAGCGATCTGACTTGTAGTGAATACCCTTAAAGATTACAGGAAAAGTCCTATATTTTTAGAAACTGCACATACATTGAACGCCCTACAACTCGATACTGAAGATACTGTCGAGTTATAGAATAAGAATCCCATACACAATCGCTATCACAGTAGCCATAAATTGCATGAGCATGATTGACCGCCCACGGTTGCAACTCTGTTATTGCCAGGTTAGCTTTAAATACACAGAGAACCAATAGACGATGCGTGGGACTAGTAATCATCCTCGTGTAAAAACTGGTGATCTCAAACCAGGTCAAGAAAGGAATGGGTAGGAATGTGTTGACGTTACACTCGCTTTGATGGCTATCACAGTAGCCATAAAGTGCATATTTACTATAGTTCTATAACTCGATATCGAGTTGTAGAAAGTTGACGGTACTTACATTTCAACAATGTTTCTAAGATGGAACGTTTCAAAAATTATTTAGAAATATTCAATAACTATCAAGAAATTGAGGAGGTTAGAACCCTAGTAGCACACTTGTCACAAACCGGTTGAGGTAACTGATATAGGACTAATTTTAATCACATTCAAGTTGCTGCAACTTTGTGTGACATATGTGTGCTACTTGGGAAGGAAAGGGGTGTAAGTGACTTTGATCGATTCTCTTCATTGACTTTCTCTTCTGATAGCCACAGCTTTATAAACAGATTTTGCGCTATTTCTGTCACGTAGTTTGATAAAGGAGGTTCTCATCCACACGAAACGAAAATCAATTATTTTATTCATGTTTTTCACTTATACATTTTTGCCACAACATTAGCCTTATACATTCCATAAGACAACCCACATAGGTCTTATAAGAATGCATAAAACGTATTTGTAACTTATACATTTCATTTGACACATGATCTTCATTAACTTTTTACAAGGCGTCTGCTTATACATTTTTTTTTCATAATAGAAATTGCCAAAAAGTATAAGGAAATTTCTATCCGTGTAGCATCCAGAATGGCACACGAATCAAGGGATGTTTTTGCAGCTGAATTATTACCGAAAGAGAAATTTGATGAAGAGAATCGATCAAAGTCACTTAAACCCCTTTCCTTCTAACCCCCTCATTTTTAGTTTTATTAATTATTTATAATTTTTAATTTTAATAATTATTCATAATTTTTACTTGCATTATTTGTATAACCGTGGTAGCTGGTAAAATTGGTATCAATGCGTAGGTGCTAGAACATACATGAATGAACTAGGGTAGATAATGTTTGAAAGTATTAATTGCAGTTATTACACATAAAAGCGATGTCAATCTTAAGGTCAAGAAGCGACCGAGGTCTCCATGTGTGACATTTCATAGCAGTTTTTCAGAATGGAATCACCTTAAATAGATTTATTTAAATTCGAATCATTTCACAGAATCATCTTTGCGGCAAATGCAACGCAGTAGGCCTGGTCGATTTGATGGTTGTGTAATATCAAAGGTATACTGCAAACATCAATGTTAACAAGACAAATTATTTGGCTTTATCTAACATTATCATTTTCCAGGATGCTTTCGCGTACTGGCTGCGTTTGTATTAGATTAGATGAGATTAGATTAAAAACTATGTAAACCTTAGGGTGACCATCTTGCCCCGTCTAAAGGGCGAACACGAAATTATTGCGACACCGAAAATGTCATGCCAATTTTCTTATAATGTTTAGAATCAAACCAAAATTTTAGGGTAGTTTTATACATATATTTACTTCAAAAATCAAAAGAAAAGTTAATCGATGGAGCCTTGAGTGTAAAATTGAACGCATTTTCGCTTGATGCCCTCCATCAAAGTCTTTACAGTGTCATCCGGTACCAGTTTCTCAGTTTTTTTTTTCCATTTTCTTAACATGTCCTTCTCGTCTTTGACTGTCTTCTTGCTCTTCCGAAGTTCCCGCTTCATTATTGCCCAGTACTGCTCCACCGGGCGCAGCTCCGGACAGTTTGGCGGATTCATGTCCTTTGGAACAAAATGGACAGAATTGGACTCATACCACTCCAGGACACTTTTAGAATAGTGGCATGATGCCAAATCTGGCCAAAATAGCGGAGCTTCGTTGTGCTGCTGCAAGAACGGCAGAAGGCGCTTCTCGAGGCACTCAGATTTGTAGATCTCGCCATTTACTGTGCCCTTTGTCACGAAAGGCTCACTCCTCAGTCCGCAAGAGCAGATGGCCTGCCAAATGAGATATTTGGAGGCGAACTTCGACATTTTCTTCTTCTTAAATTTGTCGTCCACATCGAACTTGCTCTTGCCGGTGAAAAACTCCAACCCCGGAATTTGCTTAAAATCGGCTTTTATATACGTTTCGTCGTCCATCACACAGCAGCCATATTTTGTCAGCATCTTCTCGTAGAGCTTCCGTGCCCGAGTTTTAGCCGTCGATTGTTGCTGCTCATCGCGGTTTGGGAAGTTCTGTACCTTGTATGTATGTAGTCCAGCTCTCTTCTTTGCATTCTGGACGTAGCTCTGCGACATGCCGATCTTTTTAGCCAAATCACGGCTTGAGACGTTGGGATTTGCTTTAATCATCCGCTTCATCTTTCCCTCCGTCTTTTTGTTCTCCGGTCCCGGTTTTCTTCCAGCTCCTTTGCCGTGGTCCAACGTCAACCGCTCCTGGAACCGCTTCAACACTCTGGAGACGGTTGAATGGTGAATGTTCAACATTTTTCCCAACTGCCGGTGCGACAGGTCAGGAAATTCCAGGTGTTTGGAAAGAATTTGTTCTCCAACTCGCGTTGGTTCACCTCCATTTTCGTTGAATCGAAAAACACGACTTCGAGTTTGACAGCATGTACACAATACACATCAATGAGAAAGTGTGCAAAATTTGGTTGATTTTTACCCAATGGTAAAAAAGTTATGCCCTGTTGAATATGTCGCAATAATTTCGTGTTCGCCCTTTACCTCTGCTTGGCGTGAATTGGCACGAAGAATAGAGCGTACACATCCACATAATTTAATAGTAGCCTAGATCAGTGCTGGTATCAGTACTGGTTTACTACTGTAACATCACATTTGAAAATTTAACATATCTTTATCGGCACCTACCACAAACCAAAACAAACTAAGCTGTACTGGGGAAAAACACAAAACGGTGACACAGTTTTGTATTGTTTTGAATGTTGCTGTTTTCTGCCTAATAACCGCACATATTTGAAGTTTATAGTATGGAAGCATAAGATAAGAATGAATAGTAAACAGTCCAATGCATAGACATTAAAATTTGGCAAAAAATAGTGACTTAGTACTAATTTTGTGCCTACTAAGTACAATTCACCCTTTGCCTCTATTGTTCGAACGGTTTTTTTTTTCACAAAATGGAACATTCTCACTGCAGACGCCTTCCAAATTTATTTAACTTTCCGAATATATCGTAAGATTTGATATAGAGTAACACTATGCTGAGATATTGTTAAAAATCTAACACTGCTTCTTGACCCAAACTCGGCCTAATGATTCTAAACTCGGCGTAACGCATTGAAACGCAATTGAATTCACTTCGGCCTATCGGATTTGATTCGGTCAGAACGCCTTTTTTGTTTTTCACGTTCTTATTGACTTCGTTCGGTAGACTTTGAACAGAAGTTTCGTACCAAACGCATAATTGACTTGTTAACGCCGAAACCATGGTTTTATTTGATGGTTTCACTTAATTTCGCAAATGTAACGCACATAATATTTTTCCAATAACAAAAATAATGATTGTTATCAGAATATCACATAGCATAAGAAATTCTATATGAGAAATCATGTCGATTTCATTGGACACATA